TTCCAATTTCTGAAACAAAACATACCAGTGTTATATGAAGGAAAGAGGAATGATAATAAATAACAATGAAGGCAAAAAGATTATTTGCACACGTCGCTATGGTTTTTTTTACTTAGTCTTCGCAAACAGCATCCTGTTGTAGAAGAATGTGTTGTCTAACAAGAAAGACCGGCATGGTTTCTCGTAGGTAGCATTGTAGCAAAAAAATTCATGTCACCTTTGCTAAACAAGCTTGAAACACATAGCGCGAGTGTGACTACACACTTTTTATTGTTAAAGAATTTCTTAATGTAGGTGTTCACAGCACTACTTGTCACAAGTCTTACCCCTGGTCAGTACAGTACGAAGGAGTGTTGTGTAAGATACTAATCACGATAGGGTGACGATAATAGAAAAAGATAAAACGGCAGAGAGCTTTTACAGAGAGTCAAAAATGATGGAAAGCACCAATCTTGACAGTGACATTTGGTAGTGAAGAGACTTAAAAGGCCCTTCTTCCACTTTTATGCACTACATGATTGTTGATTATTTTATAGAAATTTTTCAAGTCACTCCGCGATTTAATCGATAGGCGTATGTAGTTTTGCGCTACATTATCTGCCTTTTTGGTCAAATATACCAGAAGAGTGATTCGATTACTGATAAGTTAGGGCATTTTCAACAATAACAAAGAATGGAATGTCAACTTGGAATTGCATTACTTACCATATATTTCATTAGCGAGCATGTGGATTTTCCACAAATTTTGGTCTAGGAATTTGCAGGGTTCGTTGCAAATGCTTGCAAAGCTCGGCCATAGTATATCGATCATTTGGATTTTCGGACCAACATCGAACCTTTGGAATTCACATCGTATTTAGACATTGCAACAGTCTCATGGCGAGTTTTACCTTGATGTAGTTCTGAATTTCAGGATGTACGTTTGCAGGAAGTTCCATGCGATAACCTTCTTTGACCTGAAAAGGAGACATGGTTCGGTAAGCGTCTGTAACTAGCAGCGCTAAATTCCTTTCTTTCAGGACAGAACACTTTATAGTTTTGAGGGGGTGGAAGTGAAGGCCCCCAATTAGGCAACGAGTTTTGCAAGTGCTTACATAGGCTCAGCGTGAAAGTGGCTTGTCTTCAACCGCAAACAACTGAATCAAGGAGCTTGTAACTCGGACAAATTTAGGGACTGCTTACGTTCAGCTTACCGAAATCCGAAACCCATATAATTCAGGACCCATCAAACCAAGCTCTTCCACTCAAATGTTTTTGTCACGTCCTCTTCTCCTCTCCCCTCTCCCCTCTCCGCTTGAGAATAGTTTCTAAGAAACCGATTACTTCAAATCCGGAGTAAGCCAGAGATGGAGGGCGCTACTACGCTTTCGCTCCGTAAAGTTTCGCACCATATCGTCACGAGTGTATCGTATTGTCAGAGGAGCGCTTCCTGCTTAATCATTGTGATTTCTATCAGGCAAATTGCCAATTTCGTGGGCCTACCGATGTGGAACAATTTTAGCGAAGCGGCTGTCTACCTATCTTCTAATCAACGCAAAACCTACGTTTTGATTGACTTCTGCAACAGTCATGCCCGGATACGGCTCAATCCCATTATTGTAAATCTCCCAGCACATTATCCCTATGACGTTCAACATTTTTGTCAAACAAATCTAAATTGAATTACCGTAGCTAAACACGTCTGTTTTCTGCGTGTAAATTGCCATTTTTAGAGTTTCAGGCGCCAACCAACGAATAGGAACTCTTTTGTGCGGATCCATTTGGTAAACGGTCCCTTCACGTGTCAATCCAAAATCGGAAATTTTTACCTAGAAGATCATTTCAGAAGCATGGTAGTTTGCAACTTGGAGTACCTTATTGTCACCATATAGGCAGTTGCGCGCAGCAATATCTCTATGAAGAACATTTTTAGCATGGAGATATTCAAGACCCCAAGCCGCCTTAACGATTTTTCGTTTCGTTATTGATACAATTGCTGTAACTATCTTCCAATAACCTGCAGACACATCTCGTTCTTCTTTTCCATAGGTTGCTCGTTTTTCTGCAGGTATGTGTCAAGCGCCCCACAATTGACCTGTATTAAAATGTCACCATTAGGACCACTATGCTAAACGAAAACTTTATTCTGAGCCAAATATGGTTCATTTTCAGCATGCTGTTGAGCAACGCAAATTTTGATTCTTCAAGCATGCCCATGTGCACTGAGGACGTTTTATCAGTCTTCGCTGAGAAACTTTGAAAAGCTTCCGTGTAAGAGACAGCAATAGTAGTGTGAATCTCAAATCGGTTTCAAAACTTAATGCTTTTGAAGTTGCTGTGAAAATCATGAAAAGTAGAATTTCTAATAGCAAAAAA